ACATCTAAGACTAATTACTCTGATAAAATTCAATATTCAAGAATAAACCCAATTTTAACTTCTGTCTTGTAGGTCAACTTTATAAATCATTAGCATTGCTATCCACCCATTGAACAGAACAGCCCTACAGCTAGAAAGAAACATGATCACCAGAAATCTCCCAAATCAGCAGAATTTTACCCCAAATCTCTGCAGAGCTGCTCTTGCTGAGGGCATCCCTCTTCAGCAAGGCTGCTGTTCCCTTGATTTGGCTGTGAGAAGCTTGCCCTGGCCTGGCTAACACATCCAAATCCACATCTTGCCCTGCTCAGTGCAGATGCAGATTAAACTGCTGGCAGGTTTTCAGGACCCTGCCCTGGGATAGATGGACAGCAGCACTTCTGCAGGCAGCTCACAGCCTGGCCTGCCCTGTGTTTGCAGCCAAAATGCAAAGGGCTGAACAAAGTCTGCAATTAGCAGCAATTCAGGCTCGTGGAAGGGCCCCTGAGGAGGCCAAGGAATCTGATCCAGTTACAGGTGCACTGCTGCTGCTCCTGGAGCAAACCAGGGGTTACACTTGAGCTGTGAACTCCCAGTGAGAGGCTGTGTGTCAGAGTGGCACACGCTGGAGCTCACTGCAGCTGTGCCACTCTGCAGCTTTTGGACAAACATTGTCCACCAATAATGATGTTTTAAGACTGGCATTGTTTATGGCAGTAAAACCCCAGCAGCTGGATCACTGCGTTGAGGGCAATGGGGAAGGTCAGTCTTTCAATGTGGTGCCTCTTGAGCCGTGTTCTGGGAATTCTCCTCTTCTTCTCACATTTAGGCATCAGGATGTAGGATGTAGAGGTGTAGGAGAGACTGTTCTCCATTCAGCAGCCTGGAGAACAGCAGGGCTAATGGTGCTGTCATGAAAAGCCCAGGAGGAAGCTGGCAGCCATTAGAAATGCCTCTGGCATCACGGCTGCCCAGCTCGGGTTACAGCAGCAGCATCACTTCCAGCCTGAGGCAAACCTTTTGGCTGCAATTCATGAAATCCACATGCTCTGGAGCAAGACACCGGGTGCTGTCACCATCACCAGCTCAGGGTGCTTGGCCACCCTGCAGGAGCAGCAGGCAGGCAAGCCAGGGCACCTTCCATCCCCAGGGACCCACGCAGAGCAGAGCAGAGCAGAGCAGGCTCTGACTCACAGGCAGGGCAGCCAAGGCCTGGCTGGTTCCTCCCCAGTCACATGAACTGGGTGGACCACGGGCACAGCGTCTCACAAGCACCTGCACAGGAAAGTGAGGGCTGGCGGGGCAATCACACACCCTGAGTAATCTCCACATCCTCCAAGGCCGCCCAATACAAACAGTTGGTAACTCTGTCCCTGTTAGTGTTTGCTGTACCACAAATACTAATATAACAAGCAGCTTTTCTTTCCTCTCTCAACTCCCAACCTGCAGCTTTTTTGTTCACTGGCGAGTGTGAAGTCAAATGAAAGGAAGTATTCAGGAACTTAAAAATGTCTTATAAATCACTCTTAAATAGGATTTGCTCAATGAGGACAGAAGATCCTAACAGTTGTCTTTGTGTTCAATTTATTGCTGAAAATACCCTCAGGTGGCAAAAAAGTAAATAAAATAACATTTACAAACAGGAACATGCTGCCTTTGTGAGAGCATGCTTGTAGCTGTGGGGACTTTAACCTCAAAATTAACCCTCCATGGACAATGGGGAGACTCCAAGACAAGCTGCCAAGATGGTGTTATGACACTGGGCAGCTCTGCCACTGAAAACTGCCCAGCTGAAAGCCTTGATGGATTTATGGATGGAATACATTCACTTGCAGGCTGAGCCTCTCAAAATGACAACAGGCATTTCACACACAGACACACAGCATTGTGCCAGGGCAAACAGGACATAAAAGTGAGGGCACCTCATTGCCCTGGCAGGCAGAGAGCAGCCACACACCCTGCACCACTCACTGCTCTGGGAAGAGCTGCAAGGGCACCTGATGTTCTCCATAAGCCAGAGTCCAAGGTCTGGCAACTGGCTGGGGCATTCAGCAGTCATTGTTGGGATGCTCCTTAATGCAGAAAGAGATAGCAGAGGGACAGCTGGCCTTTGCTTCTTCTTTCCAAGAATGGGCCAGAGTAATTCCCCATTTGCTTGGGGAAAAGTGTCTCCTTTGACCAGGGAGGGCACTGAAACAGCACAACAGCTGTAACACCCCAGAGACCATCCCAGCACCCAGGTGCCTCCTTCAGCAGGCAGCTAAGAAGCTGTTTGGGGTCAGAAGTGTGGCACAGGATTTCCATCAGGAAGGTCCTGAGCCACACTTCTTCCAAAGACAAGGGTGAATAACATCAGCAACTTCAAAGCTCTTCCTTGTCAATAGGACATGAAAGGGTTAAAGATGTCACTCCACTCATGACTATTATGGGAAAACTTTGTTCCAAATTCTCCATTTCATGCTGCTAGAAAATCAACAATCTTGAATTACCTTGTATTAAGGCAGTTCTACAGGGCAGCCTGCATTTGCTTTTAAGCCCACTGGCTATCCAAGGTTGTTGACTACTGGACAAACAGACAAATTCTACTGCTCCTGGAGCACAGGTACTCCTGCAAGCATTACACAAGATGCTAATGACAAAATCTGCAGGCTTAATGCCAAGCATTAATTTATGTAAATCCTATCCTAAATGAAGATCAGAGCCAAGAGGGCATATGCTTTTCTTGCAGCACGTTTAAGAAGTGGAGAGTGAGAAATAGAGCATGAAGCAAAAATGGCAGCAGAGGATCCCCTCCAGGACACCGTGCTCACTTGCATTGTTATTTACATGTTTTTTTCCCTTGTACTCCCTGGGCCGAAGGAAGGAAGGATGTTTCATAGGAAGGAAGCACTGGTGTGGCTGTACTGAGACAGGACCTCACTGCTTCCCCCACCCCATGCTGCTCCTTTCTACAGAGGAGGGAAAGAGCAGGAAATTCACATTTTCTCTCTCATCTTAGAGTAAGGGGAGGAAGCTAATCTCAGTCCAGCTCTGATTTCAAACAAGGTTAGTGTCCAAAGCTGAGCAGGTTGCTCAGGACTGCATTAAGTTGTGAAAATCTCCAGGGTCAGAAATGCCCCAATCTTTCAGGCCCTGTTTCCTGTCAGAACAATCTCAGGGAGAAAATTGTTTTCCTTTATGTTCAGTCAGAATTTACCATGCTGCCACTTTCTGCACCTGGGATGGGGCAATACCCAGCATCAGCTCAGACTGGTGTATGAATGGATTGAGAGCAGCCCTGCAGAGACAGACTTGGGGGTGTTGGGCAAAAAATTGGATATGACCCAGAAATGTGTACTTGAAGCCTAGAAAGCCAACAATGGTCCTTGGCTGCATCAAAAAAATTATGGCCAGCAAGTCAAGGGAAGTGATTTCCCCACTCTGCTCTCATGAGACCCCACCTGCAGCACTACACCTGGAGTTCTGGTGTCCTCAGAAAGACTGCAGTGGGCTCACAAGAGGCCACAAAAAAGAGTCAAGGACTGTAATAATTTTGTGAAGAAGGACTGAGAGAGTTGGGGTTGCTCAGTCTGGAAAAGAGGAGACTCTGAGGAGCCTTTCAATATCTAAAGAGGGTTTATAAGAAAGACACAGACTTTTTACCATGCATTGTGGTGATGGGGTGTGGGCACTGGTTTCAAACTAAGAGAGGAGGTTAAGATTGGATATTAGGAAGAAATTCTGCCCTGTGAAGGTGGTGAGTCACTGGCACAAGTTGCCCAAAAGAGCTGTGGATGCCCCATCCCTGCAAGTGTCCAAGGTCAAAGTGGATGGGGATTTAGATAACCTGTTATAGAGAAATGTCCATCTGAACCTCATGACACTTCAGACAGCATCTCACCAGTACTGAGCAGGAAAGAAAAATCTTCTCTTGATCTGCCTCACAGGCACTCAGTGCCATGCTGCCACTGCTGTGCTGAGCCTGTCCAGCTTGCTGCTGCCACTCCTGCTTTTGCAGAGAGAGATGCTCTGTGTGCCCCACCAGCTCACACACAGCTGGGCTCCACAGCAAGGACTGTGCTGAACTCTCAGCCACAAACCCAGCAGCTGCAGCAGTCACTAGAGGCACACAGGGCAGAGATTACTAAAATAAGAAAAAAGGAAAAAAAAAAAAGAGAGAACCCACCCAGCTTTGCAAATCAGCTCAAGGCGTAGGCAGCTGAGGAAAAGTGAATGGAGATGTGTGTGTGAGGACTTGGGAGTGTGTTCCTGGTGTAAGGCAGCCAGAGAAAGGCAGCAGAGAATGGGGCTGGCCATAGGGGAGCAGGGAAATGAGGGGCAGGTGACCCCGACCCAGGGAGTGCCAGCTGGCACTGAGCAGGGCACGGCTGCTTCCCTGCACTCAGCAGCTGCTGCTGCTCTCTGCCTGCACCTCCAGGCAGCCTCAGCCCAGCTCTCACACAGCAGCACTGTCTGTGCTCTGTGCTCTGCAGAGTTCACCCCACAGAGCCTCCCCAGCCTCCCACCAGGGCTGGAAAGGAGTTGCCCACCTCCATTGCAGCATTGTTCCTGCAGTCACCTTCACACACAATCTCACAGCTTCCCCAAAGCACCGCTGATACTGCTCCCTTCACAGCCCCTCTGACACTGGCTAAAAACAAAAGGAAAATATCTATTCCAAACTGGGCTTCTTGCTCCCATGCTCTGCCCAGTGCATAAAAGGTAACATTCAGAGAATTTTAGAGCACATGCAGGCAGTTTACAATATATTAACAGCCAAAACTCACACAGAAACAACACCCACATTACACAGGATGCCTTTATGCAAGGACATTAGTCATACTCAGCAACATTAAAAACAATCCTGAAGAGCAGCTATACAGAATAGGATGCAGACAGAAGAGTGAGAGACTTCATTAGGAATTCTCAATTGCTTCAAGTTCAAATTCTCACCACAAAGCATAACTACTAGTTATTTATTATCATCCAGGAATTATTGTTTTCCAGTAAAAACAGACATATTTCCAAATGATTCACACTACCTGAGAAATTAATGTGTTTGCAGCTCTGTTCCAGATCCTAGGTCAGGAATCTCCATTCTATTCCAGTAAATTCCACTAAGATATCACATGTAACAACAAGTTCTTGAAGAAGTTTCATCAGATTTTCCCTTTAAGGTAACCCACTGCACTCCCACGTGAGGCACAGGCACCTCAAAGGCACAAGAGCAGAAAGTGCTGCAGTGGAATCAGATGATCAGCACAACCTTGGAGCCTCTGCAGCCTCAGAAACACATCCTGTGATTTTCAAATCAATCCAGTGGGGAAGACACAAAGCAGTGCTGAACCTTACGAGCCAGCTAATGCTTTTGGAAGCAATTTTAATGAATGCAATCCTGAGAATGAACGTGGCTGAGAGATTTTGCTGCAACACGTAGGGAGGGTGCAGCACTGCAGCAAAAGCTGTCACTCCCATCGTGCAGAGCTGTGCTGCATGCAGCAGGGTGGCAGGGCTGACGACACCAACCCTCAGAACCCCCCTGGCACAACCACCCTTGCTGCACAGCCCAGAGCTGCCCTTCTGCAAGCCCTGCATTGCATGCAGCAGCAGGGGAAAATGTGAAAAGGAACGTAAAGAGAGGTACATTCGAGGTAAAGAGAAACATTCCTGAGCTAATTAAAGAGTCGCTTGAGCTTACCTTCATCGTGAGCAGTCATGCAGAAAGACATTTTCAGCTTAGGATGAAGCTTCCATTTTTAGAGGTCAATTAGAACACTGCAACACTCACACGAGGAGCAGGAGCACAGGCCCTGCCATGTCACACAGCAACCTGCTCCCTCCTTTGCTCCCACACCCCCTTTACCTACCCTGGCACCTCCAGTGCAGGGTCCCTGCTGTCCCCTGCTCCCTCAGGGGACACGGAGCACTCACTGGGAGGATCTGCTGTCCCCCTGCTCCCTCAGGGGACACGGAGCACTCACTGGGAGGATCTGCTGTCCCCTGCTCCCTCAGGGAACACGGAGCACTCACTGGGAGCATCTGCTGTCCCCTGCTCCCTCAGGGGACACGGAGCACTCACTGGGAGGATCTGCTGTCCCCTGCTCCCTCAGGGGACACGGAGCACTCACTGGGAGGATCTGCTGTCCCCTGCTCCCTCAGGGGACACGGAGCACTCACTGGGATGACCTGACAGACACTGCCCACTGGTCCCAGAGTGGGAGAGCTGCTGTCTGGAGCACAGGTGATGTGTGTCACCAGACTGCACCTTCCTCAGCTGCCCCACACGGCACAGGTCAGGCAGCCCTCTCACATCACCTGCCCACAGCCACAGACGCTTTCCTACTGCACAGCCTGACACATGAGCCCCAAGCTCCAGTGGTTTTGTAATATTAACCACCAAAGCTGAATCCTACCAGGGTAAAGAAGCCTTGGTTCTCATCTCCTGCTGCTCTGCTTTCTCAGAGGCATGCAGAGCACAATCAAGGATGGCCACAACACTGTTTGCAAAGGGTCTGAATGAAATCAGTCCTGCTGCTTCTGAGCCAAACAATCACAAACACACACAGGGGTTTTTGTGGCAAAAAAATCTTATTTAGATCAACACCCCCTCCCCCTCCTCCAGGCATCAAGTTTGCAAGTTGAAATCACAAACCTCAAAACTGGCTGAGTTAATGAGTTAATTCAATACTAAGTAAGGTTTGATACTATGGCCTGGGCAGTACAGCAGGTCAAACTATGACTTAAAAACCAATTAGCTAAGTAAATTCAGAACTATAAATGTTTACATGCAGGGGCTTGTCCACCCAGTACTGATTAAAAATCCTTAAAGCTTACACTTTCCCCTTTGTGACTTGAAGCAGCTCAACCACCACATTCCCCACAAAGCAGGGCAGACAGCAAGGAGGGATGAGGAATTATCCACACCTGACAGTGCATGTCCCCCATTTCTTCATCCTGGGGCACTCAGAAGCAGAGAAGGAAGCGTGGAACCAGGCCTGCAGCCAGGGGAGGGCAGTGGGCAGCCCTGGCACACAGGGCAGGGCAGCAGGACAGCTATCACACTGCAGCAGGCCAACGAGCAGCCACACAGAAGTTTCCAGCTCACACAAAGTATTTACACACATGGGACCGGTGCACTTTGCTGGCCCATGTTCAGTAAAGCTGCTCAGAGCCCAGATGACAGGACTCTGAAGTTATTTTGTAAGGAGGACATTTAGGTTTACTCAATTCAATGAAGCTCTGACAAACAGGGCCAAAAAGATTGGGACTTAATGTAGAAAATTTTCCACTGAAGTCCTCTTAATATGATGTCTCTAGTCCTCTGCCCAAACCTGGGCAGCACTTTGTGTGAGCAGGAATTCTGCAAAGGTAGCACATCCAAACTCACTGTGAAAGCGTGGTGGTGAGGTGTTTAGAAAAAGGAGAGTTTTAATGTTGTATTTAGCAGTCAGCCCACTCTGCAGCCTTGTCAGCCCTTAGGATCCACCCCAATAACCCCAGGAATGAAATATATCACTTCCTTGCTTAGGAACAAAGTTGCCAATGCACAAGTATAAAGTATAAGAACACAGAAGCTGTAAATTTATTTCTGTGTGTCTGTGGGCAGATGAGAGTGGCTGCTTGCTCTTGTCAACACAGCAATGCTTAAATGTTCAAGGGATGCTATTACTGCACAAGTGACCTCACAAACTTTGGACCAGATCCTCAAACTTAAGTTTTATAGTTATTTTCAGGTGGCCCTGCACTTTGCCTGCCTTCTTCTAGCCTGGTACTCCCCTCCCCTGGCCAGAGTAAAGCAGCCCTGCAGCCAGGCTGGGAATCTGGCAGGGCTAAAGGGATTGGGGGAGGCTGATGGTTAATTTTCACCCAGATCAACTCTCTGAACACAGCTACATGGAGTTTTTGTCAGCTGGGGTGGGGCTAGAAAAGGCACTTGGAGGAGAAAAGAGGACAAGGGGGAAGGCAAACCCACCTCCTGCAGGCACAGTGCCCACCTGCACTGATGCAGCTCTTCCCAGACCCAAGGCTGGAGAGGATGTGAGAACCCATCTCTCCTCCAGCTTGACAAGAGCAAGCAGCCACTCTCATCCGCCCACAGGCACACAGAAATAAATTTACCAGCTCAAGTGTTCTTATACTTTATACCTGTGCATTGGCAACTTTGTTCCTAAGCAAGGAAGTGTTATATTTCATTCCTGGGGTTATTGGGGTGGATCCTAAGGGCTGACAAGGCTGCAGAGCGGGCTGACTGCTAAATACAACATAAAAACTCTCCTTTTTCTAAACATCCCCTTCTCCTTTCAGCCCATCACTCACAGAGCACATTCACCTTTAACTGTGTTTCTATGTGAAATTCAAATGTTCAGGAACACAAAACGTTACATTCTCTGCACAACAAAAATATTCTCCGCTTTCTTTTCCAGAAAAGGAAACAGACCCTGCCTGTGCACAGCATTCACACTTGCATGCATGCTGCTGTCACGCTCAGGTAAAGCTGAGTGCTGCACCTGCATATCCTACTCCACCCTGGTGAGGGTTAAAGCACACAGGGCTGAGGCATCTTACAAACCCTTATCTGCCCAGATTAGGGCCTCAGCAGGGGAACGTCGCTGCCAAAACCTAAGACACAAAAGCATTAAGGCCCAAATGGCCACATTCTGATGGCTGACATCCAATGCCACACTTTATATTGGATCATTTCAAAAACTCTGGTTTTCAGGCTGCTGAATCCAGCCAAACCTCACCGACTTCACAGGAATGGCATGCCTGGCATGCCTGCTCAGTCAGGGTGGTTATGAAGGCTCCTAAATCTGGACAGTTAAGGGCAAATGGTTTGTGGCTTTTCCACCAAACTGATTCAGTCACCAGCTGTAAACCCTCAAATCCAGAGAGATGTGACTGCTCACAGAGTGTGCAGGGAGTGGCTGCAGTCACCACCAGGAGAAGGCTGCCAGCCCTGTTACCCTGGCAAACAGATGAGCTTGGGCAGGGAGATTAATCACACCTTTGGTGCCTACCAGGGAGGAGGAGATCAAGTTAAAAGACTAAAGCAAGACTAAAACACTCCAAAAATTCAGCACATTGAAAGCAGAGAAAACACCACTATGGAAGGACAAAGCTTTGGTTTGTCCAGCTTTGGGAGTGCAAGAAGTGCTGGCAAGCAACACCTGCTCATCAGCTGCCACCAAGTATTTGAAAACATTCATTCTTTCTACTTCAAGTGTGCAAATACAAGCATTACCCAAGGCAAAAATCTGTACAGCAGGCCTTAGAGGTGTGAAGATGTATGTAACCATGCCACAACCATCACAACAAAGGTTCTCCATTCCAACACATTTTAAAGGCTCCCATGAGCTGCAGTCTACTATTTAGTATAAAACATATTACTGCTACAAATCATCACCCTCATGGGAATCTTCCAATAAAAACGACCTCCTAAAGATATTATATGCTTCATTTTAGTGTAACAATTGTATCAAAATTGTCCTTCTTTGTCATTTCACTCATTTATGAAAAATTCCCATGAGGAAAGAGGCCTCTGGTTCCACACCAACTGCAGCCCAGGGTGGGAAGGAAGGCAACGGAGAACATGCACAGCCTCAGAGTCCCTGGTACAATATTCTGGTAAGGTCATGCTCAAAGATGTAATCACCAATACAAAATAATGTGGCCTAGATTGCAAGGCATACTGGGCTTTTAAATATCATCATTTCTTGTAACAGCCACATTTGAGAGTTCTCTTTTTTTAACACGAGTTATTTTTGCCTACAATTCCTAGCCTCATATTAAATAAAGAAAATCTGTAACTTCCTCTCAGGCAATTTTCAGAACACAGAGACAGCCAGAAGGCTGGCAAAAAGTCTACACTCCTGTAACTTATTTCTGCTTCTTAGGAAGTCAACATCGGTCAGATTGGCCTGTACTGGAGTGCAGAAACTTTATTATTTCATATTATTATGAGGAAGCTGAGGGTGAAGAACTCCTCAGATCGGGAGATGCAGGGGTTGGTTAATGGGAACCTGACTACTCTTGAATTGTGCTGCTCTCCCACACTGCCTTTACCCCAACTCATTCCTCTACCAGGAACTTTCAGACATATCCAAAAGAAACACAGCAATCAACTCTCCATGTCCTCCTCCTCCTTGCAGCGCTACAGAGGGCTGAGCACTGAGTAGCTCCAAGGGTGCAGGCACGACGCTGGTGAGAGGGTCCCATGTCTAGGAGGGGTCCCTTGGCGTGTCAGGGACTTTGTGCGGTCCTTACTGCTGCAGAGCCGATACAATGGAGGAATTACACTCCTGCGAGTGCCGCAAACCAGCCACAGAGCACGCTGTCCCTGCCGAAGCATGCCAGCTGGTACGGGCTGCACAAAGTGAGCCGAGCACGGAGCTGCCGGTCCCGTCCTCGCACAGACTGTAACGCCGGGGAACGACGCCTCCCCCCAATGTCCCGCAGGTCA